CCCCCTCAACCCAAACTGTTGTCATCACAGATTCCATGTGAACCCTCAGAAGGTTACAAAAAGGTTTCCTGAGACCAGAATGGATTCAACTGATTGAAGCAACACCAATACGATTGCTCACATAGATTTTCTGCCATGGCCATGCCGGCGTTAAGGGAAATGAAAAAGCAGACAAACTGGCTGGTGAGGCCACCTCTGCTCAATTGACAGCACGGTTCAACCAAACAAGGTCGAGATCCTGAAATGTCTCTCTCGCCACCTGATTGAAGAGGAAGATAGGGAAGCAGAGGCCAGAACTGCAGTGGAGGGGATGATGGTTTTGGGAATACAAAAAGGAAGTGGAAAATCTGGCATCCTAGCTGGAAAGAGCAGAAGAACGTTCAACCAGATATGCACTGGAACAATCAGTAGAACGACCCTCAGCAACATTTTGGAGAGAGCAACGGAGCACTAATGAACATGTCCGGAAAGCAGGGACTTTGTTTCCTGAAACAATGAACAATGTCCTCAACAACAGGTGGTCTTCTTGGACAGGCTCCTGAATAACTACGCTGATACTCAACTGCACCAAACTCTTCCAACAGTTCAAACGATGACCATAAGTAAATACAGAAGTTCATTTGTGCTGACATGAGCACACTGACACAATAACAGCCACACACTGTATGCTTCCCAGGAGGTTGAGATTGATTCAGAATTTCCTTCAGGTCTGCTGGGGTAAAGATATAAATTGTAAAGCCCATGGAGTTTGCTGTTGAGCGGGAATTTGAGCTACACAAATGCTGTTTATTATTTAATATTATTGTCATTATTATTCAATGTATGAAAAAAGCATGCAGCCTACATTTTGAGGAGAGATACCGCCTTGAAAATGGGAGAGTGAGTTAAACTCACTATAAACTATTTGTCTGAAGTTCACAATAAAAAAGAAACAAAATCAACGTAACAACAATACACAAAGTTATAACTCTCTTTCTCTTTCATCACCTTGGAATGGAGTACTGTGCTATCCACATTCTTGCTTCCTTCAGAGAGGGCGGGCCTTGATGATACCACGTTACGTTGTCCTGGGAAAGAGAAATAGGAATTACACAGGAAAAATCTGAACCACAAATCTTAATGATAGGGAAGTGATTTTTTGCACAGACTATTTCTAAAAATAAAGCATATTCCCCTTATAGAGAAAGGAGGATCTAAGAAAAGAAAAAAAAATTCATGGACAGATCAGAAAAATTCTGACCTCCACACACCGCAAATTCTTGCTTGTCCGTCAAGTTAACAAACTAACAAACTGCCAAAGAACCTGCATTCTTATTTCTATTACAGTTTAAACAAATAGAAGATCAAAACAAGCTAGAATCAGTAGTTTTTATTAACACTTTCAGCAGTCAATACCCCATAGGTACAGGGGTAACAGAGATTTTTATCCCTTAGTATTCGACAGTGTAAAATCCCTCAACAGAATGAAACAAACTATGATATGCCACCTCTGAACACAGCACATACCTCTAAACTATCACTCAAACCGAATCAACCCAGACAAAATCCTACACTGTGGCAAAGAACAAATGCCGCAGACCTCCTCTTTTTCTAACTTGGTGATACGCCAAAGGGCATGAGCTCAAAGACTACAGGATTAACAACATCAACAATCCTTCAGCATCCAGTAGAGACAAGAAAGTGAAACCTTTTGCATCCATACGTGTCATGACGTGTTGGAATCAGGCGCTCGTCAATTTTTCGGCATGAGAAGTTATTGGTATCATGTGAAAGCTTATTCATATGCCTTGCTTTCTATGAAAAAAAAACCCCCAACCCATTTATCTTGCATAGAGGTCGAAATATTTGCAATTGAAGGAGGTGAGGGTAGCATGGCTTCAGAGGTAAAATTATAGAGAAAAAGGCGCCAAAGTTTGGTAACTTCTATAATTTTATGCCATTACTCAACGTTTTTCAGTACAATTCACTTGGAAAGGCGTTTTTAGATGGAAATAAAAGGTGTTGAGCCTAAAAACAAAAATTTGATTAAAATTGCCAAACAGGAGATAAAAATGCCAGTTTCTTCGATTTCATTATTTTGACAAGCACCAGATTCCATCACAATGCCTCACATACATGTCTGAACTGTTTGGGTAGGCCCATGTTCATTCCATGCAGAAGACCCGAGTTCTATATAAGAGCGTGCGAAGTTTTTCCTCATTGAGTATCTCTATTTGTCTGCTGTGATACTGTATCCCACTTATCCCAGGCTGGCCATGACAGGCAAATTCAAAGAAACCCGACTCCTGAATGATCCAAATCGGGTAATCATAAAACATTTACCATCAAATCAAATCCTTTACCTCTGCTTTCTTTTTCAGCTCTCGCTGTTTCTCTTCTTTTTTCTTTTTTAGCGCCGACTCGCCCAGCTCTGCCAAAAGTTTGCGTAACCGTTCTCGTCTTTCTGCAGGCCCCTCCCCAAACAAACCTGAGGACATGAACGTTCATTTTATTATTATAAGGCTTACTCTGCTCACCTCTCTAGCTTCAACAGCACAAAGTCTGCTTCGACTATCAAGGCACCCCGGAAATAGCGGGTCACAAGAGTGCAAGAAACATACAAAAGAAATAGAGGTAAAATGACGATAGTAAGGATTAGGGAAGAAAAAGCAGTAGTTCCCCATTGCAGTTTAAGCAGTTATGAGCATGACATTGATGATCAGCCCATTTACAATTCTACTGTGCATAAGAACACAGTTAATGTCCCCCCTTTGGGACTGGCCTAAAGACACTCCAGTCAGTAGCACCGCCCTGGGGGGGTTGAAGAGGGTTTTAAATTCTCAGACTCAATAATATATTTACAATCTATTTAAACTCAAATACAAAGCCTTAGAGGGCTTAAAATCTCTGATCCAACATTACATGACACCTAAATCCAACCCAGAATTCCTAATTATCTGAAAAATTTGAAGCATACTTCTCAGCTACAACTGTAAAACTTTCACAAAAATGGAGAGTCATAACTTCAAAACATGACATCCAATCATAGTGCTTTAATCACATCTAAATAAAAGTCCTTCTCTTTAAGCCAGAACTCTGCACAAACTGTTCCTCTCATTTCCCCTTTGGCAGTCAGTGACATCACTCATACAATACTTAGTAACAACTACAGCAGCACACTGATCACTCACAGATAGGTTCTCCGATCTGACGTAAGTTAGCCTTGACTTCTGTATCGTCAGTGGAGACTTGAATCGTTCTGGCCTGGAAACAATATATATTTAGTTTTTAGTTTTAGTAGAGGTTTTACGGTGTTCTGTTAGTTTTAGTTTTAGTAGAAGTTTTTCGGTGTTCGCTACTATATTAGGTCATATGAGCGCCAGAAGATTAGAGCTGTTACAAGAGAGAAACAAACATAAAAATGAAGAAGGGGACGATCAAGGACGATAGATGTTTGACAGGAAAGAAGAAGCATACCACACCAGAGCACCCACCAACCACTCACAACAATATATTGAAAAAATGAAATCTCCATGGTAACTACTCTGGACTTAACGAACAGTTGATAAAAAGTTTGGCCACATTTTTCTTGAGCCCCAAAACAAAAAGACCCCCCCCCCCCAATCCCCGCGGGAAGAATCCTGATCCGACAATCAAATAGAATAACAGCACATTCTGGTCACAATCAAGAGGTGTAATGTTGTTCCTTAAATCAAATACTCACCAGATATATGCCTAAAATTTCATATCTCAAAACTCGGTCAACATACAAGGATTTTGGGTCCAACATAAGAAATGCTTATTTCAGATCCCTTCCCCTGTGACTATAAAAGAATCGTTCAGAAGTAATGAAAGAGAAGTCAAGTCTGCGAAGAACATGTTGTATGTGACGACATGATAATATCAAACATGAACCACACATCTCCACTGCAATTTATAATAACACACAGACACACACACACATGCATGTGGGACTTCAAGAACATCACTGGGACTAAGAAACACAAAAGTTGTAGAAGAAAAGAAACTTGCCCGTTTTCTCTTTTCAAATTCTGCCAAGGCCTCTGCTTGCATGGCAGATTCACTGGCCTCCAAGTCAAAATGACTTCCTGTAAAAAGAGTACAATGTTAATTCTTATTGTGATTATTCATAAATCATGCAAGAACTGGAAGTAATGCCACATCAAGCAGTGAATGAAAATATAACGTTACCACAAAATATTTCACACCCTTTAAGCCCCTCTTGCAGACCAGTTTTCATTTTTCATATTTTATTCTCAGTCTGTCTCTCTCATAAAGAGAAGTCTAATATTATTATTTTGTGATAATGTTAGTTAAAATCAATTGTACTCACTTCGACTATCGCAGCCAGAAATTCACCTCATGAGTGCTAGTATTGATGTTGATATAAAACTTCAATGAAAACAAAGTTACAATTACAAGGCCAATGTGGTATTAGTATATATTTTAATTTTTCTGTACTTTTTACTTAAAAAAAAAAAAAAACTTAACCCTGCATTTACGCAGAAATTATTTAGAGAGAAAATCACATCATTTATTTTCCAGAACAATATAAATTTAAAAAGGCTATCTCGGCTGCGGCTATTCGGACTCGAGTCTGAATAGCCTCCCGTGGCTATTCGGACTCAAACTCCAATGAGCGTACGCAATCATGGGGTGTACTGGGCGTGAAGCGGACAGGCAATTCGACCTTGACCTTCCTCGGTTTGTATGATCTGGCCCAAATTTTTTACACAAATAAAGAAAAGTATTAGATCTAGCGACGTCAAAAGTGAACAACAGTTGCAAAATCTGAAATGCCTTTTAATTAAGACAAAGTTTAGAGGCAAACAGGGAAACGGCAATCTGAGCTCAAAGTTGTGACAGAAAAATTGAAAATCAAAGTTTCAGAACAACAAAGATGACAATCAATAGGTAGTCTAAACCCACTTTATTTGAAGAGAAAGACAAAATCATTAGTCCAGTCAGAAACTATGAAGAGAAAGTTAAAACCTTTCCAAAGGGAACAAAAGTCAGTCATTCAAAGTAACAGTGGTCTAAAGGAAGAGCTTTACCAACAGCATACTTTACATGATGTTCAAATAAAATAGGGACAAAACAATACATTATATTCTGATACGATAGTGTTAGAACAAGCAACAATCCTTCTACAGTATTGGAGTTTGAGTTCGAATAGCCATGTGACGCTGTTCAAATTCGAGTCCGAAAAGCCACTTTGATTTTAAAATGTTGTATTGTGGACCTGACTTTAACCGGGAGGACTTCCGTAACGAGCGACCACTATGAGACAGAGCAGAACTGAGGGCTTGGGGTAGGGGTAGGGGTAAGGGTAGGGTTAGGGTTAGGGTAAGGGTTAGGGTTAGGGGTAGGGTTATGTCTAGGCCTCTTCTTTATTTGTGTTTGATGGGGTGGTCGCTCGTTATGGAAGTCCTTCCCTTTAACCTTTCTAAGCTAGATCTAGATCTAGTTACCTCTAAGTTAAGTGTACAACAATCCACACTCTATATGATTCCGTTCTAGGCTAGCCACTAGGGCACTCGTGTGCAATTGCAGTACCGTTTGGGGAATACCAGTTTTTACCCCACAGTACAGACTATTACTTCTGGTTCTAGATCTAAATGATTACTTTTTGATGCGTGAGCCGATATGCATTGTTGATACCGAATATTAAAACCAGTATCGATATCCAGTACTCTGTGCTAGGCCTAGTGTGATTTAGTGCAAATGGGACTGCAACTGTAGGCTACAGGAGGAGTACCGCCGCTAGGGCAGGGCCTAATCATAGAATTATCATACACTACACCATGCCAATCTCAATCGGAGTCGTGAACAAGGTGGGAAATCCAGAATTTCTATCCTTTGAAGTTTATACCACACTTCAACTTTCTCCATGACATTATTATTGCGTAGGCCTATAATAACCATAGCTACTTACCATCTGTGATGTTTATATGACCTGCTTCCTTCCCTGCTTCGATCAAACTACGTGAGGTTGCGTTACCCGCCTTCGCGTCCCCGGCAGCGAGCCTGGACTTTTCACGATCCTCGAGACTGCCATAGTGAATAACTTTCTGCCTTTTGATGAAACCGGTAGGCTCGTCATCATCAGACATGATGAAAAGGTGTTCAAAAACAAAATCAAACGTTAGATATAGCACAAGATCTATTGGCACAATACGAGAATAAAGACTATCCCTTCAAAATACACAAAAATATCAAACGATTGCTCTGCGATAGAGCTTCTTGTCTTGTAGCGTGGTAAAGTTTTGGATGGTAGTCTACGCAGTTTACAAACTTTTCAGATATCTGGCAGCATCTTTTCACTGTTTATATAGGTTCATATCCAATTTAAAAGGGTACAATAAATAAATTGACTGAAAAGACTGTTGAGTCTGCCAAAAGCTGAGCAGCTTGGTCATAGGGGTCAATATATAGCTAAAGCCAAACTGTTTACATTAATCAGAACAAGGTAACCTCTTTTATTGCGCTTATTATTAGGCCTACATGTATTATTTAATCCACCAATAACAAAACGCACGGCTATTGAAATTATAATTTGGTTATCTTTGGAGAAAGAAAAGTGTTCAAATCTTTTACACTGGAAAGAATACAAAATATTCGTAATAAGCAGAAGAAAAGACTGCATTACTGAATATTAGTAACAATTTAAGGTAGACTGAGGTTGTCAAGGAAACCCTGAGAAAACATAAATTGATATCACAACTGAAAGAGCTGCAGAGCTGGCCTTCCATAGAAAACTGCATCTCCCCTCGACGCTTAAAGGCAACAGATGATAAAAAAATAAAGTAAGTAAGTAACAATTTGTTCTTGCATGAATCTGAGTACAAGAAAAGACCTACAGATTGTTATAAGCCTTTATTGACAGCTTAGCATTACATGTTTCTAAGTTAGGAGATACAATCAATAATAAATAATTCAGGTACACGCGCCTCATAGCCATTAGCTGAGCGACGGGGGTATTTTTTATTATACAAGTTAGCCTACGGTGAGTATTTATTAAATGATCTCCTTCTTATATAGGCCTTTTCATCCCTTTCTCTCTCTCTCTCTCTCTCTCTCTCTCTCTCTCTCTCTCTCTATCTATCTAG